AATAGCGAAAAATAATGGGACAAAACGTAAAAGTAACATCAAACAGACTAAAAAAAATGGCGGCATGCTGTGTCCGGCGCGCATCTTTGCGCGCTTGGAGCAGGCTTGCCGTCGCCATAAATATTTGGAGGGCTGTAACTACGCGAGGAAGAGGGGGTTTAGGGAGATTCAAAAACTCAGTTGTAGGGTTTTTGATGTAGAATGTTATTATGTCAAGCATATGAAAAAATTATGTGAAGGGAAGGAAAATTCATGACTTTCTTTTTACAGCCACCTCAGGTGGCTGTCAGGTGGCTGTAAAGCCACCTAACTCCGAAAAAGTTTGCCACGCCTTCAGTTCACATGATTTTTTTGCACATAGTCCTAGCTCCCTAACCCATCTACACACCAATTTTGGTGTCGTTTTATTTTCTCTTCACTGTAAACAAGTCTTTTGTTTATTTCGGGGCAGGTTTGAATTCGCGCGCTGAACCGGCGAACATGGTGAAACAGGAATTTTTTTTTTTATACAGGTCGATAAGGCAGAAATGACAGTTTGCACCTTCCATAGAAGATGGGTGACATAAAGGCAGAAGACGATTATGTGTGCGTGTGGGCGGGGGGGGGGGGTCCGCTTCAACGACAACCCCCTTGCTTTTTATTCCAAAACAATATTCAGCTTGCCCCGTAAGCCACCTGTGCCGAGCCCTGCGTCAATCATGTAAAGGAAGTCACGCTCTTTCAAATGAGCCTACATGCAGGCTCGTAGAATGACTACTGGCCAAGCTACAAGCCTGCAAGGCGGTGCAAGTCAATGGTAAGGTGCGGGTGGGCTCATGTGCACGCATTGTCAGGAGCCATTTTCAGCAAAGAAAGTCAGGAGCCATTTTCAGCAAAGAAACTCACCAGCACATGTACGATGCATAGAGGATGGCAAAGAGCATCCATTTTATCCGAACAGCTTTGTTAGGATGTTTGGGTTGTTTCATACTGCCGCACTGACTGCGGCAACTGCAGCTAACTGCACTGACCGCAGCAGACTGCAGCAGACTGCAGCTGACCGCAACAGCCGCATAGATCGCTGCATCCTTTCGTAAAAGAAAAACCAATTGCGATTACAGGGCTTTTCAACCTGAGAGTCGCAAGTTTCGCTTGCGCGGCTCCTCCAACGCGGCCGCCTCGCTCAGGCGGCGCGCGGCGTTTGCTGCGTATCGCCCGGATTTCGCCAAGCTTCAGTCAACGCGCAGCCAGCGCCACGAACGCTGCGCGGACCTAAGCGTGGCGTCCTAGCGGGGCGGGTGGGACACTCAGGTTGTAAAGCCCTGTACGTCAATACGTAATTTACGCCTAGGAAGTATAGGTTCTAGCTTACTTTTCTCAAATTTTGGCGATTGTTTTCTTTGGTATGCTCATACTTATTCTGATTCCTCCGTTCATTGCATATACCTGTTTCACACTCGCTCGTGTTGTCTTTTGGGGCATATACTATTGTTAATTGCTTAGGCTACAACTATTTATCCTCTCCACCTTTATGAAAGGATGCAGCGATCTCTGCGGCCTGCGGTCAGTGCGGTCAGCTGCAGTCTGCTGCGGTCAGTGTGGCAGTCTAAAACAACCCTTTGAATGGTATCCGTGAAGAAATGTGGCTTGAAAACGGTAATTAGAAGCAAAAAATAGATAAAACTAAAGCTTGGGTTTTTTGAAAGTAACCACAACCTGATTAATGTCCTTGATGAGCTCTATAATAGTATGCTTATCTGTCAAGAAAACTCCTGTTTTGTTTCAAACCAAGCCTTAAAGGAAAATCTTCGCGCTCGAAGATGTCCGGGACATTGTGACGCGGCCTTTTCAGACTTTTTTAGAAAAAAATATCTAACAAAGGAATGGTCAGAAAACGAAGTGGCCATTCCAGACAAGTTGCGTAGCGTTAGATGCAGCATGAAGCGCTGACTCTAAATCTGTCTTCTTTATCTGCTTATCGCTTTTATGGACGAAGTTATAAGCCGTTAAAGACCATTATTTTGCTTAAAAATCATGCGTGAAATTGAAAATTTAGCCGTGCAGAGCCTCGTTCGCCTCAATGCTGGGCCAAAACATGCAGCTAGCTTACTTAAAATTTTTGAAGCCAGAAGCCGAGCTAAAAGTGCAACAATGTGCACAATTTCGCTGTTTTTATGTATGATTTTTTCACAATAATACCGCTTGTAGCTTCGTCCACAGAAGCGAGAAGCATATAAGGAAGACAGATTCGAGATCAGCGTTTTATACTGCATCGAATAATATACAGCTTGTTTGGTTTGGCCACTTCGACTTCTGACCATTCCCTTGTAAGATTTTTAGAATACAAATTTCCAGAAAGCGCAATGTGTATGTTGTAGCCCTTGAAGAGCTCTATTCATCTCATGCAACCCAGGCATTTTTTTCTTACCTTTGTTTTCCATACGAAAATGAGGGATGAAAAAAGAAGGCGGCTTGTCCGCAACTTTTTGGCGGCCTCTGTATTGTCGCCGAGTTTGGGAGGGTCCCGGCGGAATCCTTGCAGGAACGCATCTCCGTGTATATGCAAGGGTGCGTATTTGTTGCAAAAGACCGTGGGGACCGCCCATTTTTGGCGACATAGTCCTCTCTACCCTATAATATACAGTTCATTTCAGCCGGGAACAGGTTCAAGAGATGCGTTCGCCTCGCGTATCGCGAGAGCAGCTGTAGTATGTGGCAGAACCCAAAATCTTTATTGGCCATTCGCGGGTGGAAAACCCCGAACATCGCCAATAAGCACCCGACTGACAACTGGCCTTTTCTTTGCTACACATACAGTGAGAGAACCAGCTAACCTTCGGTGCTATGTCGCAAAGCGCGGATTACACTAATGCCAGATTAAGATGGAAATGTATTATAATCAAGGATTTGAGGCTCTGAATGTGGACCCATGAAAAGATTCTAGCAGAAGCCGCACTTATTATTTTAATCATGAATGGCGTCATGTCAAGATTAACGTTATTAGGCACTTCGTCATGGATTCCACAAAGAGCAGTAGAGTATGGAAGGATAGCATTATATGTTAGCTGGCTTATCCTCTATTTTTGTCAGTTTTGAAAAGCATCATGTGGCAATCCTCGACTTTCTTATTGACGCCGGAATCGCGCCTTAGGCACGCCACATATAGTTGATTGTTGACCGCACAGACTGGACACTGCGAAGCACGCGCCGCGAGGTAAACGCTTGCCCAGTACAAATTCGCCATTGTACAAGTCGTGCTCTCGCGACAATTCAGCCGCGCCGCGCGTGCTACGCAAGGTTTAAAGGCAGTGTCCGGGCAGAAACTCGACTTCTAAAAAATCAACTTATCTGGGGTTATCCGCAACGCTGAATCCGAAAATCCACATCAGAAGGCGCGAAAACGACGAGAACATGCATCTTCCAAGTCCTCACATTTCGAAATTTGGGGATCCCCGCCAGGCTAAGACGCAGAGGTTGCAAAGAGCGCACGGTTTTTAACTGTGGCGGCATACGTACTCTGCCGTCTGGCAGGAATTCAAACAGCTCGGAGGACCCCGCCCCAAGGCGTAAGTTTCCCCAATTTGCAATCGTTTTTCTTGCTTTAGGTCGAACGTTTTATGCTCGCAGTTGCGCGATGTTGTGTCTCAGGGGGGCTACTTTCACATGGCAGAAAAATCTCAGAACCCCCATTTTGCCCGGACACTGCCTTTAAGCAGTCCATGCAGTCAAAGAATCGACGATACTTAATCCGCTTATAGGCACCCTAAGTTGGGAGTCTTGAGCTTTTGGCAACATATGATAGTAGAATAATATGATAGTAGGGCCCACTATCGAGCCAATGCCCAAATCGCGGAGCAAAATGTCGTTTAGGAAGCGAGAAGATCGCTACGGAATAACAATGACGATGCACGAAGACCCCCAGATACCCCCTCCCCTCCTGCCCGCCCATCCGTGCGAGCTCATCCAATCACGTTACGGAGAGCCGGCCTGTGGGTTTTCCGCAGGGGGTATTGTCGGGGTTTTCGCGGATTCTCGACTTCGTACTCGGAATCAGGGACACGAGAAGGCCCCGGAGCAATCACAAATGGAAGTCGAGAATGTGGGTGGACGCTGCCTCTAAGCCACTTGATCCGCTTTGTCATTGGTCAATTCAGTGAACTGACCAACAGCGAAGTGGATTAAAGGCAGCGTCCAGGCAAATCTGGACATACAGGTCTTTGATGTGGAAAGTAATTTTGGGGCCCTAACTAAGATACTGCCCAAGCGGCAGCTCAAATGGTGCATTCACAGTTGAGATATTGCGCTTCCAAACTGGACCCCGGTATTCGCATGGATTCATGGCGCGACACGCCTGGGTCCTCACGCGAAACTGATGTGTCGCGCCATGAATCCATGCGATACAACCCCGGGGTCCAGTCTGGAGGCGAATATCTCAACTGTGACCTCACCATTTGAGCTGCCGCTTGGGCAGTGTATTAGTTAGGGCTCCAAAATTACCCTCCAAGTGAGATTCCCACAGGCTCATATTTGCCTGGACGCTGCCTTTAAGTGGATCAAGCGGATGAAGTGGACAACCAGTCCGCTACTGGTCAGTGCACTGAATTGACCATTTGAAGCGGATCAAATGGATTAAGCGGGAGGCGCTCGTAAGGCGCGCCTTATGTCGCCTCCCGCTTCCGCTCCCGCCATACTCTTCGCATTCTGACCGACAAATCATCGGCGTCGCGCGCTCATAAATGTGTGTGAGCTATTATTGTGTGAGCTATCCAGACTAATAGGAAACTCCTAACTCCTAATTAAAAGTGCCAAACTGGATACGTCAGCTGGACCTTGATGCTATGATCTGCCAAATTTTAAGGTTTTATCGCAGATCTGGAAAAATACTGCGAAACGGTTTGCACTAAGTCAATAAAAATAAAATAGGAGGGGATAAAATCCTCGAAGGCGCATATACATACACAGTCAAGTTTGGGCACAAGAACAAAGCATTCATTCATGCATACTTTGAGGGAAAAGCTTACCAAAGAGAGAACAGGATCTAGGTGGTGCTTTCAGTGATGACAACCGCCACTTGAGAGCGGAGCTGGATACGCCATTTTTCCTCTTCCTTATGCCTGACATTTTGCCACGTGCCTTTTGAGAATCCCAATCCTTCGAACTGAATGGTAGTTCAAAACACAGTGAACTGCAAAGAAAAATAACACAACGGACTTACAATAAGCTGCCGATTACGGCTGCTAAATCGGTAGCGTTCTTCAAGACAGTCAGTGGATGAAACATGATGGCGTAATCGCCAAACACTGCGATAACCTCCAGCCGTCTGCAGAAATAAAATTAGGTTAACATGTTCCAATACAGGTAAGTAAAAGAGATGCACGTACGAAAAAGTAATGGAAGACTGGCGTAATGTCTAGGTATCTATTTGATGAAGGCAGATATACATAGATATCCATGTGCTTGGAAATACGTTGACTTTTAATATCAAACGCACGGAAGGCCGTCACTGCGACGCCCGCGACGCGCGGTAAAGTGCTTGTCCCATACAGATCGCATCTGCGTAAGTCGTGCTCTCGCTGGCCGCTTGCCGTGGTCGCCTCAGGCACTGCCAGTCCCTGCGATTAGAGGATTAGAGGATGGTATGGTCAGTTGTCGACTGCACGGACTGCTCAAAAGTTGCGGGCCACTCGCGGCACGGCTGAAATCTTAGAAAGTACGACCTGTACGATGGCGCATTTGAACTGGGGCAAGATTTTTCCCTCGCGGCGCGTGCTCCGCGGTGATGTCAGTCTGTGCAGTGAATGAATCGACGGTATATAGTTCGTATATAGGAGCCACTAAGCGTGTCTTACAAGCTGCAACTCGCAAGAATGCGGGTCCTGACTGCCCAGTCTGGCCGTGTTCGTGGCAGCCGCAACGAAAGCTAAAACGTTACGGGGCAAACTTGTACTCTACGATGGTGTCTACGTAGGTTTCGACAGGACATAGCCTCTGTCTCATGTGGAGTGAGACCGACCAAAAGGGCTCGGTCCCTCGCTACCGCCTCGGCGGTGTTCGCGAGCGCGTCTGGTCATTCGCTCACCGAGCGTGGGAGCTTGAAGGCAGCGTCCAGGCAAAATCTCGACTCCTATTTTTTCGCGTTATCCAGGCCTTTTCATGGTGCTGATTCCAGGTATGGCAATCAAAATATGTGAATTCCTCGAAACACCCCATTTTTGAGACAACTTTATGAGAACTGTGGACGAGTGCTTCTAAGCTATCTTTGTCTAAAGCAATCACTAACAGGTAGAAACTATGTGTTTTATTGTGTTTGCCATGTGAAAACACGTCAAGGCCTGAGGAGAGTTCGTTCAAAGAGGCGGACCGTTCGCCATTCTCTCGAACGGTCCGCCTCCTTGAACGAACTCTCCTCAGGCCTTGACGTGTTTTCACATGGCAAACACAATATAACACATAGTTTCTACTTGTTAGTGCTTGCTTTAGACAAAGCATAAGAGGCACTCGTCCGCGGTTCTCATAAAGTTTCTAAAAGATGGGGTGTTTTGAGAAATTCACGCATTTTGAGTGCCATATTTGGAATCAGCACCATGAAAAGGCCTGGATAACGCGAAAAAGTGGAGGTCGTGATTCTGCCTGGACGCTGCCTTTAAAGACAATGTCCGCGCAAAAAGTCGATTTTGGAATTCTGTGCTTACTTGGATCTATTCGCTGTGCTGAATTCGAAGATTTACACCGGAAACGGCGAAGGAGGCTCTGACGCAGGAGGGAAGTCGCAGCTGGGCAGGTCTGCTCACACTGTGACGTCACTCTGCCAGATTCAGGAGCAATTTGTCAATCCCGCAAAGCGGCGCGAATTTTGCGAAGCGGACCAGGGTCAAGCAAGGGGTGTGGCACACGATCGCTGGTTACGACCCCCCCCCCCCCCCCCTGATTGCGGTCTTAATAAGACCCCCCCCCCCCTAAACTATACACTTAAGATAGCATTACTTGAAGGCCCTGTCAAACATAATGGGCAACATATCCATAATTAGCATGTCGAATAACCCCTGTAGATAAAGTGTGAGCGGATTCCGAAGATTCAACATACTAGACTACCTAAGTGAAATGGTCATTTTTCAACATGTTTAACATTGTTTCAAAGGTGAATTAGCTATCCGTTTTTGCACTCAAGACAAAGCACTACTCCTTCTTTGTCCACCTCAGGAATCCCGCTTCAGAAGACCTCCAAACTGTGGAATTAGAAGCCAACCAAAATCTCGTTTTTCCCATTTTTCGCTTATAATAGCTGTGCTTTCACCAACTATTACTCAGAGCAAAGAAAACGAATTAGGCTAAAATTACTCCTTTGAAAACTAGAGATCTAGGAATGGGAAAAACGAGATTTTGGTTGGCTTCTAATTCCACAGTTTGGAGGTCTTCTGAAGCAGGATTCCTGAAATGGACAAAGAAGGAGTAGTGCTTTGTCTTGAGTGCAAAAACGGATAACTAATTCACCTTTGAAACAAAGTTAACCATGTTGGAATTTGCCCATTTCACTTAGGCACCCTAGTATTTTGAACCTTCAGAAATCGCTCAGACTTTGTCTACAGGGGTTATTTAACATGCTAATTATGGATAGGATACGAATATCATGTTATCACCATTATCAGATTACCCAACTACGACCCCCTCCCCTTTTGACTCCTCAATACGACCCCCCAGGTGTGGCGTGCCGCACCCCACGCTTGACCCTGAAGCGGACTCATGCCAGTCCAGTTTCCGCCTAAACTGAGTTGAAATTTACCTACTATGCAATGGTAAAGATACGCGCGTACCTTGTCGCGCCCGCTCAACTAATACTGCTTCTGCGCCTTCGTCCTGCAGTAACCTTTAGCTCCGGTATCGCCGGCACATCTTTTGATAAAGAGCAATCAATACTTCGCTAGGAACGGTAACGAGGTCCGCTGTATGCCCCACCTCCAGCGAAATGAACATGTACTCACTGATATTAGCTGAGACAGCGCAGAGACACCACGGCGCTGTTTCAGCGTCGGTGCAGCTCCGAGGGTGTAGGCCCTTCTGAACTGCCCTAATCGCGACGGCTATAAGAGGTCAGCGCTAATTAGAGGTCACTCCATGATTGGCTAGCTCGCGGGAGCGAGCAGCTGACCTGGGCAGACGCGTTGCGGAGGCGGACGAGTTTCACATCGCTGGTAACCTACTCCACAATGAGATTCTGGAAGTATCTAGAAAATGCCTAATTCCCCACCCTAGAATTCAGTAACTTAAGTTATTTGTTCTACCCTACACTACTTAAATCGCCGGCTACTTTCTAAGGTGGTATGTTTTTGACCTATAAGACATTTTCAAGTCTTTTTCGACTTATTTTACTGGTTTTTTTTTTGTTCGATTGCTTGCTCTACTCTCCTAGGTCTTTGTGAGTTCGATTGCATACTCTACTCTCCTACGTTCGCCTCCTTGCAGCATCATCTAGTCACATTCAGTTGAAATGTGCACTACATGCATGCCAGTAGGGAAGCATACGTTTTTTTATGATGAGTTCTTAGTTTTTTTATGAAGTTTTTCTTACACCGTCCATATCAAAAACGCAATCAAATAAAAATGCATCACCTTCATCTGGTAGCGTGATCTATATGGATTGACTTTGGTAGCGACCTTCTCTTTGCTGCACGCATCATGCTTTTTAAAGCGTAAAAATTTCAAATGCATGTTCATAAATTTTACTAGGAATGAGAATTTTAAGGAGATGAAGCTACAGAGATGCACTGAAGTGTCAGAAGGAAATACGCATTTGATAACGAATTAGCGTAGATCACAAATTTAAGTTATAATTGGCCTTTATAAAGAGTTGTTACACACACTTTGATTACGTGGGCTTTCCTCAATAACATCAAGCAGCTCACATTAGCAATATGATGTGACGATGCACGACGTTATAAGGATCGCACACACAAGGGATATAAGTGGAAAAAAAGCAAAAAAAACAAAGTTCGAAAGAATTCAAAAGTGATTCATGAGAAGTTTTTTATGAATCATGAAAATGAAAAGACTTCGGAAATGTCCCATAAGTCATAAACATACCTGCTGGGAAGTAGGGCTCAGAATACCAAACATTCAGAGGATGGTAGCGTTGGTGATTTTCGAAAATACGAGCCCTTCGCGGAGCACTCGTCCGCAGTCATCGCAGCGCATGCGCGCGCGTCCTAGTTCTAGATTACTGTAGGGGACGGTGGGTTCAGAAGGGCCGTCTCCCGTGAGGGGGATCCAAGCCGCTCAAGTCGGGCTCGCACCAAATCGGATAAAGTGTAGGGCGAAGCACATAATTTCGAGTTTATATACACTGCTGCATGGCTGAGGCGTAACTTTGGGCGCGAGCGCGGCTTCCTTAGCCCAGAGCGCATGAGGCGTAGGATTTACAAGCGTGAGGATACGCGCTCCGCGTTCGTGCGCGGTCAGGTAATACTGCTTCTGCGCCTTCGTCATGCAGTAGCTTTTACCTAAATGAACACTTGTGTTCAGGATTTTTACCCTCGCTCCAATGCTCCACGATGAGCCCAGTTTACGCCGTCGACGATTCGACAACACTTCACCACAATTTACTGTTTTTCAAGATACTTTAAAAAGAAAGACAAGTTAAATGCAAATGACGCGCGATCCCTTGACAAGAGGTACTAGGTACATATAATCAATTGATTGTAGCAAAAATTTCACACGTCAGGACGGTTGCCAGCAACAGTTGAACACCATCGATTTCCCGCGCTTCGATTGCGGGATGGTGGACCGATCATTGATGCCGCTCGGTCACTGTTTGCAAGCGCTCGCCCGACATCTCTTGATCGTACACCGGCCGACCGGTTGATTGACAGCCGCTCGCCAGGTGAATGTAGCCGCCCACCCGGTGCTCTGTTATGGCGGGGCGCTCGCCCGGCGAATGAGGTCGCTCGACCGGATAATGCAACCGCTCGGCGGGGGTACTCTAATTAGCGCGGCGCTCGCCCGGTATTTTTGCCTGAGAATGAACGTCAGCAAACGCTCCCAAGCTGTACACCATTTGTATCGATCGGTTGATTCGAGCACATTGTCACAGGTTTAAACATGTTTTTAGCATGCCAGTGAAAAATTCTCTAATATGGCGTCGGTGTCGACTGATATGCTCAAACAACAAAATTATCAGGAAATCATATCAAAAAACTCGCATCTCACGACGTAACAAGGCAGGAACACTAACGTGCTTTCCTTTCACCGAAAATGGTCGCGAAATTTCTGAAAGTTACTCAAAAAAGTGTGACTTTTGAGTTTTCAAAAATATGAAGCATAGTAAGAATTTTTTCACAAGCCCCCTTTCCCTAAATTTGGGGGTTATGGGCGTAAAAAATTTGGAAGGCATCCCGAAAAATTTTTTGTCGTCCCCCC